ATTATTATTATTATTATTATTATTATTATTGTTATTGTTATTGTTATTGTTATTATTATTATTATTATTATTATTATTATTATTATTATCATTTCTCTTTTTGTTTTCTTTATTTTAAAATTTTGGATTGTGATTGAAGGTAGAGAAATCCTTTTACATTAAATATCTATTTTACATTATAGATCTTTTTGTCAATATCTATTATATATATATTTTTCAGTAAATATTCTACTTATAATTTATTAATATATTATATTAAATAATTTAAGCCACAATTAAGGACCGAACTAGAAAAGGATCTTTTTGTGAGAAAATTTAGGATAGAATTAAGGAAATTTTTTTTATATGGGTGAGGCCCTCAACAATCAAATTAAGGAGCACCCCAAAAATTCACTAGAAGGGGTCGTTTCGATATTGAAAAATCCTTAATTTGATCATCTCGACCTCAAGATGTATAGACATGATAAAAAATAGATTTGGAGTCTTGTAAATAATGAATATTGTAATGTATCAATCTATAATATATTTTTTAAATATTTAAATTTTATAATTAGTGATGGAAATAAATTTTCAAGCCATCATAAAGATTTTTGATACTAAAACAATATATTTCGAAAAGGTGTGCCTTACTCTGATTGTTTAGGACCTCGGCCTTATACAAACCACACCTTAGAATTAAATTAGGAGACGTTAAAAAGTAAATTTAGGCGTACCAAAGTTGGCACATATATCTCTCTATTTCTCTTACTTGAATTTCATATCTGAAATCAGGGTTTAAATCAATATTTTAAATCAACTGGTTTTGAAATCAGTTGTTCTTAATCAACCCAATTTAATCATGGTGAAAAATGATTGGACTGAAACTGAACCACTGGTTCAATCACTGAAATTGAATAAATGAAATTATATTGCAGGTTTCTAACGGTGATTGAAGTTGGATCACTGAAATTGAATATTTGTGTTTTCACTTTGATTTAAAAATTAATGCATTTTAATCGATAGTTTTGGAAACCAAAATCAATCTTTTAGTTCTTGAAACAAAAATTAAAATTCAAACCTTGGTTTAAATAAAACCCAATATCATACTTATGATTCCTTCAAATCGGGGTTTAGCCAAGATAAATCACTAAAAAATATCACAATGGTTTTGCTTGAGAGGAATGCACAAAACTGAAGGAGAATTGATCAAATGGCTTATGGGTGAGATTTTTCAATACAAAGGGCGTCCATCGTTTTAAATTTAGATCTATGAAAGTAGTAGTAATAAATATTTTTTTAAGAGAGAGAGCCAAAAATCAGATAGAAATAGATCTAATAGTGAAACGAAAAGGTCAGCATTATACCAGAGCAAATTGCTCAATTTTTTCGAAACTCGGGTGTTTCTTGGTTGTCGCCTAAGAAACACGTAGTTCCTAGTAGTGAACCAATCGGTTTTTTTAAAAAAATGAAAGAGTTTCCCGATCCTAAATCAGATTTGCATCGTCTCGTTAATTATGAATTTACTCGGGTGATTCTGAATCAATTTAATAATTTTTTTAGATATTAGTGCCAACATCAACTGACGATAGTTGGGGCATGCAGGGGCCATATAAAAATCTTATGAAAACAATCAACTCTCGGATTTCTATTTCACCGTCTCTCAGGAATTGGTTTTGGCATTCAGAAAAAGCAAAGAGAAGCTTATTTTGGTATGGAAGAGAGATATCTAAGAACCCAATACACTTTTTGCCAGGATAAGTGAGTGCTTTGGGTGTGCTTTTCCATGTCAACCCAAATAAGGCATGAAGCTAAGAGAATGAACCAGTATTTTAAAAAATGCCAATTTGGACGGCAGTCGGCCGATTTGGATGAAAGGTAAGTGGAAATCGTTCTGGTTTTCTGCTGGAAGCAGTAATCAACCGGTTTCCCTCAAAACCAATAGTCCTCTAACATAACTGGTCAAGGACGAGGGTGATTTGGCCCCATTTTTTATTTTTATTAATTTTTTTAAAAAAGTATTGTTACTTTCAGTTTTTTTTTTTTTGGCTAATTCTCTTGGCCAGATGGCCAACCCAATTCGATAATCCAAACCAATTTCATGTGTGACTGGTTCAACCCAACAAATCTTGGTTTTTAAATATTAGAATGAACACACCTGGCCAAATCAATCCTCAAACATTGCACAAAGCCCTGGGAGAAAATATACTTAACCCTTAAAATGTGACATAATCCCCATGAGGTGAACATCACAATTCTTACACAGCCTACAAGCCATACAAAGACCAGGTTTTGCAAGGAAGACTGATCATCAAAACCTTCAAGCAATTGATTTTACATACAAGCCCAACACAGGCTGGCCCATACAAATACAAAAACCATATGAAATTAGGCGCAAATGGAATGAAAACTTAGGATGGAATCTTTAAATTAGAATATATTTGGACGATTCGACGGTATGTTTGTTTATAAAGTTGAACCATCAGAACCACTGTATGATATCAAAATGGGATGAAACTTGGAGGGTCTTATGGCTAGCATCTCCTCCCACTTTCATAGAATTTGGATTGCTTGGTGGCATACATGATCTATAAAGCCAGACTGGCCCTAAAAAACTGTAGCTTGGGCCACAAAATGAGTTCCGAGGCCGGGTGTGGCCAAGACCAAGACAGGGCCAGCCCAGCCCTGCCCAACCCTTG